GGGAAGTGGCGTAGGTGTCTGAGTGAATTCGGCAAAACTTTAGCCAAGTGTGGAGCCCGCCCCTCGCCCACAGGACCTCTTTCTAAAATTATTCTTTGTATGTAATTTCGCTAACCCCGGGACCCGGGTGGCCGCAGTATAACCCTCTAACACTGTTTTCGGTACCCTGCGGGGTCATGCAACTCTTAGTAAGGCTTTACTTTCGGCTGGTTGCAGAGCCAGGCGAGTCCTCCGCCTGCAGCCCCGGGCCCAGCACCTCCAGAGGCACAAGGTCCCCCGCCTGCAGCCCCGCCGGGCCCAGCACCTCCAGAGGCACAGGGTCCCCCGCCTGCAGCCCCGGACCCAGCACCTCCAGAGGCGCTGCCGGTGCAAGAGATGGATGTCAGCGGCATCGAGGAGGAGGACAAGGCGGCCCGCCTCGCAGAGGCGCCGGGGGTGAGTGTGTGCGGCCGGACCGTGCGGGGCCAGCCTCGCGGGCGGCACGTGGCCGAGGAGCGGAAGAGCCAGGAAGAGCCCAGTGGCAGCCAGGGACGTTCGTTGTCGCGGCTCGCTGTGGCTCAGTCTCTCGCGCCGCCCTGCCTACTGCGGCCCGCTGACAGCCGCTGAGTGACTCTGTACTGCCGGCAGGTGACCATGCTGCTCGGTGTGTGTTGCGACATGGACCCCACCTGGAGCCTGCAGCTGCTGCTGTGGGCCGCACCCACGCTGGAGCGGCTGGAGGTGCGCTACCCCCGCGAGGCCCACCTGCGCGCAGTGCACGCCATGCCGCGGCTGAGGAGGCTGTACGTGTGGGGTGGTGATGATGCCCTGCGCGCCCAGCCCCCCGAGCTGCCCGCGCTCCCGCCGGGACACGCCGGCCTGCAGTGGCTCAGGGTGCGGCTCCCCCGCGCCACGACACAGTCCCTGCTGCGAGCGCACGGCGGCACGCTGGAGGAGCTGGAGCTTGGGGTGGGCACGGCGGGGAGATTTGAGTGGCCATACAGTTGCGGCGACCTGCACTCGCTGCTGCAGCAGAGCGGGCTGCGAGCGCTCAGGAGGCTCGTGCTGCGGAGGGGCTGCCTGCCAGCCGCAGCCGCCTGCATCGAACAGCGCGCCGAGGTGCGGCGGGTGCTGCCCGGGGCAAGGGTGCTGTGCGTCACCTGTGACCGAGTAGAGTCGTCCTATGAGACGACACTCGAGTGCCTCCGGTTGAGTGTTGTAAACCCACAGTTGTAACACGGATAGGCAGCACCTCTCAACTGCGCGCTTAGTGGTAACTCGTGAAACTGTGAACCACCGATCCGATCAAGTGAAATATAGTGCATTGGACAAAACCAATTTTAAGTACACTGAAGAGAGAAAGAGAGTGCCAGAACGGATCGGGCGAGAGGAAGGGTCAAGGTGTGGTGCCACAAGGACCCCGCATGGAGCTTCTAAACGCCCCAGCCCAGGGTAACAGCGCGGGGGGTAGGGGGGCTGGCGGAAGTAGAACGTGCTCTCCATCATCGATTCTTGATTGAGATTTTCGTACATGGTGTCATATGTTAAAATATCGAGGCTGTGTGTGACCTGGGTCTCTTATTGAAAATCTGTGGTGGGCAGAGGACAAAAAAAAACGTTATTGGATAGAAATTGACGTGCAATACCTAGTTTGAAGCTTTCCATTAAGAACTTTCGAAGCATTTACTCGGTGCTGAGATGGTCTAAACTACTACGGCGGGAAAGACAAAATGTTGCAAGGTGAGTCTAGTCGCCTGGCTAACGGCACACTGCCGATGCCGCTGCACTCGACAAAGTTATCGCTGTGGGAAGGAGAGGGGGCTGAGGGCGGCATGAGAGGGGGAGCCTGGGAGCGATGGGGAGAGATGGGGGCACAGGGAAATAAGGGCTTTATCGCACTTGCTGACATTTTACGATGCGCTGCAGCCTTCTTCGGCAGGAACGCTTTCGCTTCCAATGTCTTTCCACGCGCCGCTGCGGCAGGGCCACCCCGCTTTCCTCTTCGTCTTCTTTTTCCCCCCTACCCGCCATGCCCAACCGGCAGGGAATAGGCTAGCCCCCCCTACAGGCTACAGGCCTCCATCGCGTTGGATACCTAAGGGGTCACCCAGCCTACTGGAGATAGGCAAGCCCGCCACACAGGCCCGCATCGCGTTGCATAACTACCGGGCGCCCAACCTACTGGGGATAGGCAAGCCCGCCCCACAGGCCCGCATCGCGTTGCATACCTACCAGGCGCCTAACCTACTTGAGGTAGGCAAACCCGCCACACAGGCCCGCATCGCGTTGCATACCTACCAGACGCCCAATCTACTGGGGATAGACAAGCCCGCCACACAGGCCCGCATCGTGTTGCATACCCACCGGGCGCCCAACCTACTGGGGATAGGCAAACCCGCCACACAGGCCCGCATCGCGTTGCCTACCCACCGGGCGCCCACCGTACTGTTGAATATCTTAGATATCTTTGGTGACTACTAGTAGATACCCTAGGCCGGTGGAGCGACCGATGCTAATGTCTGAGGGCGAGAAGCGGTGGAAGAGCAAAACTCAGGATAGTTCCGTGAAGACTATGGTTCATTGGATTCATCACAAGCCCCTCTATAAGTTCTGACACCCAGTGTTGCGCAACGCCAACATGACAACACCTACTGGGGACAGGCAAGCACGCCACACAGGCCTTTATCACGTTGCCTACCCGCTTTTCATTCACGCACTTCGTCACTGGAGTACAGGAGGTAATGCACTGCGTATTCGTATTCGGAAACGTACGGCCATCCTTCGTGCCCTGCCCTACTTATTCAAGGATGATGCCCGGACAGCAGTAGGAAGCGCGTACGAGTGCAGTCACATCGAAGGTGCGCGCGTTATTAAAACCTTATCCCCCATCCCTCGTCGAGTCCCTCGTCCCCTTGGCGCTATAAAGTGCAAATAAGCGACAAGGTCGGTGGGGATTACGTCCGGGCCGGACGGGGCGCTCCGGCCGCACTCGATAATAACTCACTGCCGCTATCAATAGAGCGCGCTCAATATTTCACGCGGATTCCATTTCGCACCTGCAGCCACCAAATGGTCCGGGGAGGAAGGGGGAGG